AAGAAAAAAATTGAAAGTAAGAAGGAAAAGATGGAAACAAAGCTTATGTATATGGGGGTTGAGGGTTTGAAGGGAGGGTAGAGGAACGGGAGAAAATAAGAATCAAGATATATCATATACAGGTACAAATTCTCAATGATGAATGTGATCATAAGGTTTACTTAAATGTACCAATAAACTCAATTTTTAAAAGTTTAAGAAAACTTAAAAAAAACACAAAAAATGAAGGCATCATTAGTTCTATCCTGAGAAATATTTGGTCAAAGTTTGTGATGAACAACTACTGTGCATAGGTGTCTTTTTGGTCTTTATTAGCACAATACAGAGTTTCATGACATAAAGAATATTGAACACTTTGTTTTATCTTTAGTTCTAGTTGATCTAATTCATGAGTAAATGAATAGCAATGTATATATGTATGTATTGGCTCTGTCAAAAAATGATAGTTTGATACTCTACTAGAAGAACTGTTAGTACTCTTTTAAAAAAAGTACTAGGGGTCAAGTGACTATGAAATGTCACTTAGATTGTCTTATGAAAATTGTTAGAGATAATTTAAGAGAACAAAATCTGAAAAACAAGAACCCCTGAATCCCATTTCTTCAACACACTTCCATGCTACCATCTTTGGTTCATAAGTGCAATTAAATTAAAAATAATATCAAAAAGTATATTCTTAAATAATGTGAGGGCAAACATTTCAAAATAACCTACTGAAAAACAAAACTAAGGATCCATTTGATGAGCACTGTTCTGGTAAAATTAATAAGCAAAGAAATATTTCAAAGCTTTGCTAGTAATCTGGTGAGATAGGTTAAGTTTCAGTAGAGACAGAATTATGAATTTGCAAAGAAACAGAAATGACCAGTGTTACTATAGCCCTAATGTAAAATTCTACAAGATGTTTTCATTCTATGTTTAAGGAAGGCACAAAACTTACTTGCCCAAGTTCACAGAGAACTCAGCCCAGCCCAGGCTTCAAGGCTTAGATGCTGTTCCTATATCACACTGTTGCTCTCACACTGTCTAGCCTTGTTTAAAGAATTTAAAACTTCAGGTTGAGTTAGCCCAGAATCATATGTGGACTAGTAAAGGGTTCCTATGGGTTTGAATTCACTGTATCCTTCCAATATGTCTAAACATTCATAAAAATGAATTATCCTAAGAATAAGAGAAAAGCCATTTTGGTGCCATGCATGTTGTTTTCAGTCTCTTTCAGTATCTCAATATCAGCTGGATACAATAAATGATGATGTTCCGGTATCTGGAGGAAATATTTATCCTCTACATATCATATAGAATCAATTATATATAATCTATATCATATATATATCACATAATAAATATAATTATTATATATTATAAAAATATATATGATTTCTAGCATGTTCACAATCCAACCCACAAACCCATTGATAGCATTTGGAGAGGTCATTTATTATAACTATTATTTATCTTTTTCTCAAACTGGATCTTAAAGCTGCCTCCATCTTAAAGCTGTTCTTGTCCCTATTTCTAATTTTATAGGTCATTGAAAATGTCTATAAATAACTTCACTCTTCATTGATCACCTGCACTCTGTAAAGGGGGATGCAGTATGGTATAAATTCAATGTTAATTATCACAGTGCCTTGCATGTAGTCTTATGGGGGGAACAAATAAAGAAATGAGATTATAATGTGTCCAATATGGATACATGTATATTAAAAGAATACACAAAAATGGAGACATATATATAATTGGGTGGAAATGGTCAGTACTTCCTGAGTATGGAGCACCTGAGAGTGGTTGAGGTGAGTTACTTCTGCATGCAGAATGAATTGCAGAACAGTACCTGGGGAGGCCTGGTAAAAAGAGGCCCTGTTCTTTATTTGCTTATGGACATTCAGTGTGGTTGAAAAGGAGGGAGAGAGATGGAGATGGAGATGGAGGGGGGGTGGGGGTGGGGAGAGAGAGAGTGAGATAGGGAGAGAGAGAGAGCACAGTACAGTAGTAAAATCAACTTGGAGAAAAATATACAAGCTAAAATTTTCAGTCTTGGCTTGGAATAAATAGACTCTGTGCCACAGAATGTTGCAAGTAATTTTAATATACCACACCATACCTAAAAGAGGTGCACCTAGGATCACCATTTTATAGACAGAGAAAACAAGACACATAGAACTGTCACAAGAAGGCATATTCCAAATCCTTGCTCCTCAGCGTGGTTCATGGACCAATAATATCAACATCTGTTGAGTTTGTTAGAAATGCAAAGACTCAGACGCTCAGTCAGCCTTACAAAACCATAGTCTGCATCTTAACAAAACCGAACAGGTGATTTTGAGCCCCTTAAAGTTTGATGAGATTTGGCTTTAATTTACTGTACTGCTTCTCTGAGAATACATTCCCTGAGAAAGAATTAGGCATCATATAATCAATCATTATATAATCAAGAGGACAATTGTAGAGGCATGAGGACCAACCAAAGTGGTACTGTTGACTAAGTGAAAGAAGAAAACAGGGTGAAACAGGGCAACGGTAGTGACAAAGAAAGAAGTAGGTAAATTTTAGAGGTAGCAGTGGGAGAACTTGGAGATATTATGAGTATATGATTTGAGAGGGGGGAAGAAGTTAGTTAATTCCCCAGTTTCTACAGGAAATAAAATAGTTTACTTTTTATAAGAGTACAATGACTACTAAGGCTGACAGCCAAGAGGAGCTGTTTATCTGGGCTACACAGACAGCAGAGGGAATTAATTATCTGGGCATTTTAGCAGGGGTCCCAAGACAAAGGCTATGTTAGAATTTTTAACTGGCTTCCCCTTGATGAACCTCACCATCACTGTATTCACTAGTTTTTTTCTTTTTTCCCTAAGAAGAAAGTCCATTGATCTCAGATTTTCAAGGGGATCTGTGATTCCAAAGCTATCAGAGTAAAGATAAATGCCGAAGCTTATCATTTTGAGAGGATCTAAGGTATTTTTTTGTGGGAAGGAGTCTGTTTTCCCCCTTCTCTTCAAAACTCCTTCTAGGGTACTAAAGGGTAACTAAGAAAAATAGAAAGAAAAAAAGATAATTTAATAATATGGGAAAGCAAGCTCACTTAACTTACGTTGGATTCAGAACTTCCCTTGCAAGTCCGAGTATTTGGTTTTCATTTCTAAAGAGATCATGTTTCTTACATTAAAAAAATCAAAGCATCTGTACAATGTTTTAGATAAATACATATTTTCAATTTTATAAGCAAAATGTTTCTAGGCTCCCCTAAGAAATCCAAATTAATCCAGCTTTTCTCAAAATGTGGTTGGAAAATAGAATAAAAATAAGAGGTAAATTTATCACAGATCTTACAGTGAAATACAAATCTGCTACTCTTGCTTAGGTAGAACAGCCCAGAGCTAGTAACTATCAATAATATGGGAATAAGCAGAACAACTGTAGAAAATAGTCATCAAAGTTTACCTTCCCCATCAAGCAATTTGGATCATGGCTTTTGGCATATATCATAACACACATGCTAAGAAGTATCTTCTATGATATATGATTGCAATATTTATGTTGAAATTTAATTCAAGTACTATTGAAGATATGAAATGCTGGCCAAAATGACCCAAGAATTTTCTTACTCTTTATGTACAAGAATTATATATTTTATTAAAGATTCTTTTTAGTTGCCACATTTCTGATTCAAAATGACAGCAGAGGAAAATGCATTCGCTTTTCAAATGAATGACAAAGAGAGTATGACTATGAGAAAGCATTAATCCTTATGGGATTCATGGTTTTTGCCTCAATAATGACCTCAGTTTCAAAAAGCAGCACTTTAGATAGATGTAGTGTGTCATATATCTGTGTGTATAGGACATACAAATATTTTAATTTCATCTTAGGAAATTTCAAACTATGAATTATTGTATGTATGCCTGCTTCTGGAAAGTAAGCAGATTTTTCTTGAAAGCAAGAATCTCATTAACTTCTAAAAATCTTTAAGTTGCTTCAAAATATGTTTTGGAAATATAAATACAGCTTTAAAATATCTTCAATGATATCATTCATTGAAATAAATTGAGCCAAATAAAACCCAGGATCCCTTCTGTTCCCCTTTTTACAACAATGAAGCTAGGCTCACACAACAAGACCATTACAATAACTCAGCAGGCAATTCCAGAGTTTTCTGGTCACTGTGCTGCCTCCTTAAACAAGTCATCCAAATGAGAGATCTAGAAGGCTTGGCAGATAGAATTCTTTAATGGTTTGTTCAAATGGCTAAGAAACTTCAAGATATACACATAATTGCTGTGCAAAAGTTCTCAAGTAATCACTGGAAAGTTTATACAAATATTTCATCCTTAAAAAAATTCAGTAAGACAAAAATACCACATAAAGAAAACACAAAGGAAACATTTTGGAAGGAAAAACTTACTTTTGTTAAAGCTGTTTGCTCCTATGACTTAAAGTAATATGAAAGAATATATGACGATTTTTGACCCACTGATATGTAAATATGTCAACTCCAAAAGGAACAGCGCTGAGAATCTCTCCCAACTTCGGCTCTCTCCCAACTGCGGCCTTTTCAACTTTGTAGGAAAAAAATAGAATCCCTGATTCCTCCAAGCCTTGTGACGTGCACATAGCTGACTCCTACTGAGCTAAAAAACTACTCCTTGTCAATTTCTCCTTAAAATTACAAGTAACAAATTCTCCCCAGAACATGCTTAAAGAGAAATTCTGCCAGTATTAGTAGTAGTTGAAATATCTACATAAGCTCTAAAAAGTTTCAAATATACAGCATTCACACAGACACACACACAGGAGAAATTTCCACTGATGAGGCCAAATTAGAGGCATATTTATAAAACAAGTTCTCTAAAACAATGATTTTTTTTCTTTCCTAGATTAATCTGTTGTTGGTTTTGTTTTATGGTGTCTATCAGAAGCCTCATTTTAGGTTTCAAATGGCTAAACTGCAGATCATTTTTGCTGAACTGTCTAAAAGAGATGAAGACCCATGTTCTCACCTGTGGAGTTCTTTGTAGGTGGAGAGAGGAGCCTTGAGCTGTGGCCTCTACTCGTTCTTTCTTGGGAAATTCTAGCCTTATATTTGAATAGACTAACTCAGGGTAGTTACCTGCTTTCTGCACCATGTGACTTAACATTTCCTGCTGTTGCTCATTTCCCAAGAAACAATTGGTAACAATTGTTATGTCACATCCATGCTGTATGACTTCATTTAAGGATGTTCATCTGGTCCTTTAAAATCTTGAATTCAAAACATGAAAGTGGTCACAGATGTCAACAGTTGGATTTGAAGGAACATTTACATATCGATGAGATATCCACAATAAGAATTCTTAGTGGGTCACACCAATCTATACAGTAAATGACATACATTCCTAGAATCTCTATTTAAGGTCATTTCTTAGATGGGATGAGAAAAGAAATATTCTACCTTAACTCCATCCATTCCCAGACCAAACTTAAACTGTCCTTGTTTCAAGTGCTAAAGGCATATGTTAATTTTTTTCTTTTTTTTTTGTACTGGGGATCAAACTCAGGACCTTGCACTTGTGAGGCAGGTGGCAGCACCACTGAACTAAATCCCTGGGTCTTGTAAATATTTTTTTTAGGTAAAATTCTGCCAAATACAATCAAGTATGAGCTGGGGAAATGCAGGACCAATTGACTCTAAGCTTTGTTAAATGAACTGATTTTGTGATTAAGACATTGTGAAATGAAAACATGATGATTAGCAAAAATGAATTCTGATTTATTGAAAGGACAAAGGTATATTTCATTAATTACAGATTTGAATCATCATGATACCCCTACTAAACAGGCTTTATTTTCCTCCTTTTATAGGAAAGCAAGAGTCTTGGAGATATAAAAGTGCCTGTATCCCCATCTAGCCTTGGGGGCATTGCCCTTTAGTTATATGCAGTATGCTATTTTTTTATAAATTCTTTTATTGGTACATTTTAGGTATACAATTTTTTTACATTTATCATTGGGTGTTTGTACCTGTACATGATGTGTCTTGGTTATTTTTTCCCCATTACGTGTGCGCCCTTCACCCCCTCCAACCTTCCCTATTTACATAGACATCATTTCCATTTTTTTTTCTTTTCTCATAGTTTTTCCTTTCCCTCCTTTCCTTTCCCCTTCCCCTCCATTCACCCCTTAGTCTTTGGACCTTTTTTCCTATTCCAACTTATCAATTATTCATTTTAATTATTTTAACCCTTGTTTACATTACCAGTTTCTCACACTGGTGAAACTATTTGGTATTTACACGTGTGTCCTATTCATTTCCCTTAAGAGTATGGCCTC